GATTGGGAAGATTTCAGGATTAGACCTTGCAGGCAGACACACAAAGACCATAAACACCACGAAGTACTCAGATTTTCAAGCCATTCAAGATTTTAGGAAGACTCGGGAATTGCAAGATTTCAAGATTGGAAGAAATCTGGAGGATTAAGAAGATTGCAAGATTTAAGTTTTAGGAAGACTTATTAAAAACCCAGGAAGACCAGAAGGACTCAGCTTTTCAAGAATCTCAAGATTTCTAGATTGTATTATATTGCGTTGCAAGATTTCAAGATATCTGGAAGATTTACTAGACTTCAAGTTCAAGTTTCAAGACACATTAATTACCCAGGACATGCAGGAAGACCCAGATTTTAAGAAGACCAGGAATTGAAAGATTTCAAGACAACTGAAACATTAAGTAGATTAATTATTACAAATTTCAAGAAGACTCACAAAGACCCCAAAACTCCACGAAGGACTAAGATTTTCAGTTGCAAGAATGCACCAAGAAAAATGACTAACATTTTAAAGATTTTAGGATGTCTTGGGCGGAGTTGCAAGATTTTAAGTTTCAAGATATCTGAGAGATTACGACGATTTCAAGATTAAAGATTTTACATTTCAGCAAGACTCACCAAGACCCAGAAACACGAAGAAGGACTAATATATCCAAGATTTCAAGATTTTAGGAAGGACTCGGGACCTGCAATACATGAATTTCAAGATACGTGTAACTGAAAGATTACGAACATTTTAAGATTAATGTTTAAAGACAGGAAAACGACCTACGTGTAGTTTCCAGATATCAATAAAACTCGAGAAGAAAGACAATTTCAAGATTTCAAGAATCGAGACAGCTTCAAGAAAACTGACAAAGTTTCAAGACATGAAGACATCAAGAGGACTCCAGAAGACAAGAAATTTCAAGATTTCAAGAATCAAGACAGTTTCAGGAAAACTCATGAAATTTCAAGAAATCAAGAGGACTCGAGAAGACACAGGAATTGTCAAGATTTCAAGAAAACTGATGAAAAATGCAATGGACTCCAAAATATTGAGGAATATTTTAGCATATAAAATAGACAAGATTTCAAGATGTCAAGATTACAAGAGAGATTCAGGGAAAATCATCAAGTTTTAAGATGTTAAGCAAAGCCAGGCAGATTCAAGAAGTACCTAGATTCAAGATAACTAAAGAAGAACCAGGAAATTACAAGATTCCAAGAGGATGTAGGAAGACTTTTTATAGACACGAGAAAATTCAAGATGATTCCTGTAGATTTCAAGATGTAAACTGACAACATATGAAGATTTCAAGTTCGCAAGATTCAAGACAGCTTCAGGAAAACTCACCAATTTTCAAGGAATCAAGAGGACTCGAGGAGACACAGGAATGTTGAAGATTTCAAGTTTCAAGACATCAAGAAGACTTGACAAGACAGGCAATTTCAAGATGTCAACATGTTCAAGATGCAAGACAGCTACCCTGGCTACAGGAAAACTCATCAATTTTCAAGTATTCAAGAGGACTCTAGGAGACACAGGAATGTTCAAGATTTCTAGTTCGCAAGATTCAAGACAGCTTCAGGAAAACTGGCAAAGTTTCAAGACATCAATCATGTCAATGGGACTCAAGAAAACAGGAAATTTCAATATTTTAAGATTCAAGACAGCTTCAGGAAAACTCATGAAATTTCAAGAATCAAGATGACTCGAGAAGACATAGGAAATTTCCTGATTTCAAGAGGACTGATGAAAAATACAATGGAGAAAAAAAAATTCGGGAATATTTTGGCATATAAACTAGACAAGATTTCAAGATGTCAAGATTTCAAGAAATATTCAGGAAAAATCATCAAGTTTCAAGATGTTACGTAAAACAAGGCAGACTCATGAAGTACCAAGATTCAAGATAACTAAAGAAGAACCAGGAAATTCCAAGATTCCAAGAGGATGTAGGATGATTTTTTATAGACTCGTGAAAATTCAAGATAATTCCTGTAGATTTCAAGATGTAAACTGACGACAACATATGAAGATTTCAAGTTGGCAAGATTCAAGACAGCTTCAGGAAAACTCATCACTTTTCAAGGAATCAAGAGGACTCTAGGAGACACAGGAATGTTCAAGATTCAAGTTCGCAAGATTCAAGACAGCTTCAGGAAAACTGGCAAAGTTTCAAGACATGAAGACATCAAGAGGACTACAGCAGACAAGAAATTTCAAGATTTCAAGAATCAAGACAGTTTCAGGAAAGGTCATGAAATTTCAAGAAATCAAGTGGACTCGAGAAGACATAGGAATTTCCTTGATTTCAAGAGGACTGATGAAAACTGCAATGACTCCAAATGATTCAGGTATATTTAGCATATACAATAGACAAGATCTCAACAGAGATTCAGGGAAAATCATCAAGCTTCAAGATGTTAAGCAAAACCAGGCAGACTCAAGAAGTACCAAGATTCAAGATAACTAAAGAAGAACAAAGAAATTGTATGATTTCAAGAGGATGTACATGTAGAAAGACTTTTTATAGACTTGTGAAACATCAAGATAATTCATGTAAATGTCAAGATGTAAACTGACAATATTAGAAGATTTCAAGTTTACAAGATTCAAGACAGCTTCAGGAAAACTGACAAAGTTTTAAGACATCAATCCTGTCAATGGGACTCAAGAAAACAGGAAATTTCAAGATTTTAAGATTCAAGACAGCTTCAGGAAAACTCATGAAATTTCAAGAATCAAGATGACTCGAGAAGACATAGGAAATTTACTGATTTCAAGAGGACTGATGAAAAATACAATGGAGTACAAAAAAATTCAGGGATATTTTAGCATATAAACTAGACAAGATTTCAAGATGTCAAGATTTCAAGACAGATTCAGGAAAAATCATCAAGTTTCAAGATGTTACGTAAAACAAGGCAGACTCATGAAGTACCAAGATTCAAGATAACTAAAGAAGAACCAGGAAATTCCAAGAGGATGTAGGATGATTTTTTATAGACTCGTGAAAATTCAAGATAATTCCTGTAGATTTCAAGATGTAAACTGACGACAACATATATGAAGATTTCAAGTTCGCAAGATTCAAGACAGCTTCAGGAATCAAGAGGACTCTAGGAGACACAGGAATGTTCAAGATTCAAGTTCGCAAGATTCAAGACAGCTTCAGGAAAACTGGCAAAGTTTCAAGACATGAAGACATCAAGAGGACTACAGCAGACAAGACATTTCAAGATTTCAAGAATCAAGACAGTTTCAGGAAAGGTCATGAAATTTCAAGAAATCAAGTGGACTCGAGAAGACATAGGAATTTCCTTGATTTCAAGAGGACTGATGAAAACTGCAATGACTCCAAATGATTCAGGTATATTTAGCATATACAATAGACAAGATCTCAACAGAGATTCAGGGAAAATCATCAAGCTTCAAGATGTTAAGCAAAACCAGGCAGACTCAAGAAGTACCAAGATTCAAGATAACTAAAGAAGAACAAAGAAATTGTAAGATTTCAAGAGGATGCACATGTAGGAAGACTTTTTATAGACTTGTGAAGCATCAAGATAATTCATGTAAATGTCAAGATGTAAACTGACAATATTAGAAGATTTCAAGTTTGCAAGATTCAAGACAGCTTCAGGAAAACTGACAAAGTTCCAAAACATCAAGAGGACCCAAGAACACAGGCAATTTCAAGATTCAAGGCAGCTCGAGGAAAACTCATGAAATTTCAAGAAAATCAAGAGGACTGAAGAAGACACAGGAATTTTCTTGATTTCAAGAGGACTGATGAAAACTGCAATGGACTCCAATATATTCATGTTTATATTGCAGCATTTAAAATTGACAAGATTTAAAGAGAGATTCAGGGCAAAATACACAAATTTCAAGACGTTAGGCAAAGTCAGACAGACTCAAGAAATACCAAGATTCAAGATCACTAAAGAAGAACCAGAAAATTACAAGATTTCAAGAGGATGTTGGAAGACTTTTTATACACCAGTGAAAAGGAGGAATTCCAATATTTTGGAGGACTTGAAATAGAACATGTACATTACATGTACATGTACAGGTTCATGTACATTGTACACATGAAAGGAAACATGTACACCGACAGTATGCAGCTCTCTTCTTCCTCGGTCTTACATGTACATAAGCTGGTCGCTGCTCTATTGCCAGGTACATGTATTAACCCTCAATTTTGATGAGAACATGTAAATACATGTAAGTACAGACAGTATGTACATTGTAGACAGGAATTGGAAATGCAGTGTACATGCAGACAGTACATGTACCGTACATTGTAGGTTAGTAAACTCCGATATTATGGAGCCCTCAGTAAATATGTATATTTATGTACATGTACATGTACATGTAGGGGAAGGTACATGTAACACCTAACAAGAGGAGTATATTGGGATAATAAGATGTAACAAATACATGTAGCCTATTTAGGAGAAAGTAATAAATCAATTATTTAAACTATCATGGCCTTTAATTATTGTCGTCCCTTTCGAATGAGTGTCATGTGGCTGTACAGAGGTGTACCGGTAGGTGAGTGGTCAACTGTGGTGCCTGGAGGTAGAGGAACTCCAAACAGAGCTACATGCACGTCTCCGACCGCTACTCATCGGGAGGACGAAATTCCTTCAGTCATCATTTGGCAGCATCACCTAGCAGAGTCAGAAGGGCAGCTAGACTGCTGCAATACTAGTACTTGATTCGTGTTCTTTCAAATTTGTTGTCAACCACTCAACATTTTTTTGTTTCAACTCTGACAAAAACATTTACATACACCCATGTACATTGTACCTGTATCATTTAATTAAGAAAACAGTCATCTGAAATATTTTTTAACTACATGTACATTGTATAAGGTAGTCATGTGTGAATGATAATGTCAAACATTACTGTACATGTACTGTAGGTTGTTAGGAATGGCTGATGGAAGATTTACAAGTGGTCTTTTACATAACCTCATTGGAAGTCTTCATGTACTTTCCCTTTTTGTATAGCTTGCCAAGATGGAGTTGGAGCAGCGCGACAGTATCTTAGCCAGTTCCAAGAGCATCTCAACAAGCTGTCAGCCCCCACTGGCCAGGGAAATCCACCTGGGCCTAATCAAATCTCCCGACTACCCAATGACCAGCAAGTTTGATCAGGCCATCAAGAAATACTTCACAGAGGCAAGGTACGAAAGAGTATTGCATCCTCATACCACTTTACAGATTAAAAAAAATACACCTTGTTTTTCAGATAAACAACTGTCATGTTAGCACTTGTAAGCAATTTCTTCACAATTTTTGCAAGAAAGATTTTGGGGACAAATTTTTCCTTGATAATGCATTTTGCCATGTTTATATCGATTAAAAGAGGCCCTCTATGATAATATGTACATGTACATGTAGAAGGCAAGTACATTGTAGAAACACATGCTGTCTCTTTTCAATTTGATGTAAACATTGTCAATTGACATATTTTTCTGAAATCGCTTAAAGGTTTTCAAGACATTTCTTAATACAAGGTATTGTGGCGCTGATCGAACCAGGGCTCCCCAAACTCAGGTCGCCCTGGCCTCCTGACTAAACCTTGGGTAAGCCTAGACGAGCGGTGATCTAGGTGACCTAGGGAATGCGTCCGTTCGGAAGGCCGTATGCCGCCAACACGTACAATATAGTCTCCTTAAGGGTGTTCACTTAAGGGAGGTACTCCAACTGACAGACTGAACAATGAAGGAACAGACACTGACACCTTTATTCATCAGACAACAACGACAATCAAGTTCTTTAATTCTCTATTGGGTTCAATTAGAATGTAAGAGTTAATCAACAATAATTACTGAATGAAACGGCACCTGCGTCAAGGGTGGACTATTCGCAGCGCTCCCCCACGCTCTTTTGCGACTTCCTATCAGGCAACCCCAAGTTACTGGCGGCAGGACTCCCGAGGCCCCAGTGGATACAGCCCACGAGGTAGCAACACACGGACCAAGATTCAGATCCCCGGTGTGTCTCCGGCTACTAACCTCCTGTCCTCGCCCAGTCGTCAGCACGTCAGTGCAGCAACACGACAACGCACACACACACGTCCGTTCTCCACGAGACGCCACCATTCACGTCCGTTCTCAACGACGCGCTGTGATCAACTCCTCCCGCGCAAACGGACCCAACAACAGAGGGCGCTGCGCAAGCTCGCTGCAGCTCGCTCTATAAATAACTCGCTGCAAGCACACCGTTGCGCTACAGTATTAACCCTAACTCCCCAGCCTAATTTGCATGGGAAATTGTACACACACACTGTTGGACTTAGTTTCTGGAGGTATGCCAACCCCATTGTAAAAGACCATCTGTTTAGGGGTACTGTACCTATCCCAACATATTTAAACAAAACCTGCTGTTGAGCTTTGATGGGTGAGTTTGGTTATGGTTAAAGTTATTTTCTGAGAAACAAGCTAAGCTGAAAAGTGTCTTGTGAAGTGTTGGCAGGATTTTTGAAAGAGGGATTACTGAGTGATCAGTTTAAATATATTTCAAGTACCGGTAGGGGATAGGTCATAAGCTAACGACCTTTTATCTCTTTGAAACTAGGGTTGAAAATCAGTCAACCAGAAATGTCTGAAACACTTGTTCCAGACAAACTGTCTCAAATGTGAACAATGGTGATTATATTGCAGACATTTGGTCACCGTTTCAGAATTTTTTAATCCCCTTTTACGCTTGAGACATTGCATCTGCGCTAGTAAACAGGAGGTTGTGGGTTCGAGTCCCACCCAAGTGATTTTTTTTTGCTCACAATCACCAGTGGGTAACACTGTACATTGTTAAAAAATACCCGGTATGTCGGTGAAGGGCAAAAAATTAATTTACATCATGTGAATAAAATGTCTAAATTATAATCGCCATTCTTCCCTTTTCAGACATTTTGTCTGTAACAACAGCATGACAGACATTTCTGGTTCACATTGTATGCATCTATCGCGTATGGAATGGGGATCAAATTAGATCATTAATCTTCCCATATCCTTCAAAATCCATTAGGCTTTTGAATTATTCTGGAAAGTAGATGCCAGGGCATCTGATCTGGCAATTTGTCAAAAGGTGGATCAAGTGGGAACAGGGTCTAAGTGGGGCTAAAAGAGTGTGCCTGTGGTCTCCTTTAACCCTAACAACCCTGAGCCCATCAAGCTCCAACAGCGGGTTTTGCTTGATTTTGGCAGGGTTGGTACCGAACACTGGCCAGCTGGTGTTGGACTTTGATTGACTGGGTACCAAAGGCCCAGGGAGACCTTGTTGAATTTTGTGAGGTTCGGGGCAGAAGGGCATGAGATTTGTGAACACGTTGGAGTTTGAGGGAGTTCACTGGCATTTCTTCGTGGGTATGCTCACCCACGGTCCTCAGCACAGTTTGTGGTCAAATGTGCATGTACATGGGAGTTCACAGGCATTTCTTCGTGGGTACGCTCACCCACGGTCCCCAGTACAGTTCCTGGTCAAATATATTGCTTTATTTTGTTAGGTTTGGTACCATCCCTATCCAATCACTCAACAATGCATAGGCCCATCCATACCAAGTCAATCAAACTCCAACAGTTGGAGTTTGGCAGGTTTAGTACTGTTCCCCGTACAAGGCCTGTTGGAGTTTGGCAGTTTTGGTACCAGTGCTTACAGACCTGTATGCAGCTGTTGAAATTTGTTAGGTTTGGTATCCTTTCTAGTGCAAGAGCCTAGGGGGTTAGGGTTAAAGTGGTGGATTTTGGAGTATACATTAACTCCTTGCAAAGATACCTATAGGGATGTTAATTATCCTTTTACATTTTCAGATTTTAATGATTTCTTTGTTTTCATACCTTATAGTCAAAGTGTCTAAAGCTTAAATTGTTAACTTCTGGCTTCTCTGCATTTAGGATCGTTTCACTGGGTGATGTGGTGACCCTGAGCACCAAGGAGTTTCCAGAATACACACATGACATCAGCGAGGGGGTGCACACTCGTTATCCATTCATCTACTTCAAAGTGATCAAGATAGAACCACAGGTAGAGGAGGCAGTTTCGTACATGGTTGATTCCCTGCATACTACAGTATTTCAGGTAAGGGTGGTTTGCAATTTGAGAATACGTGAACTTTACAGGTTCCAAAACTAGTCCGTAAATTTATTAGAAAGTAGATTCCAAACAGGCCAGTCGCAAATCAATCGCAAGTCCTTCAGTTTTTTTAGTGAAGTCACAAGCTGTACAGGGTGAGTAAAAAAAACGAAGCCCAACTGTTGGGACCATTGTTTTAGTGAAGTTCTTCTGCATGTAGCACTTTTACAATCTAGGATTTGAAAGCCCAATTCATAAGCTTTCTTTTAGTACAAGAATCTTTCAAATCACTCATGTACTTTTCAAGTTACGGAATTTTAAACATAACCACCGTTTTAAAGTTCTGTCCACAGATCACAAAAAGGTAAGTGTTCTTTCAGCAAAACGAAGACAAATCACACAAATCCCTGTGTGAATGATTCTTGTACTAAAAGAAAGCTTATGAATTAGGCTTTCATATCCTAGATTTTTTTTTAGTGCTACATGCAGAACTTCACTAAAACAATTGTCCCGACATTTGTTTTTTTGGTTTTTTTACTCACCCTGTACAAGTAAACTGTGACAAAAACATTTCTTTGTCCTTGTTTATCTCCTGTTACTTGTGAATTTTCTTGAAGTGGACTTGTGAAGGTAATATGAAACAGACAGTCATCTGGTATTAAAACGTGTCATACAGGGAGCAACGTATTGCAGCAGCCAATTTCACGAAACAGTGTGTAACTGACGCTATGCGTAGGACTTATGCAACAAATTGGTTTAACTTACAATCGATTTCATGAAACTTGGCATAGCTGCAGAACGTTTTAAATAATCTAAATATCTTGGATGAGGATAAGAACAGCATATACGACAACTGTTTGTGTTTGTTGAATCACCTTTGCCTGCCATTTTGAAAATACTTTTGTCCGACTTACATTGTACTTTGTGATGTAAATTTGGTGTATATCTCAATGTCATTGATTTTGTCCATGTACATGTAAAAATGTACAAATGTGTCTGTATGGAATCTGTGCAAAAAGTACCCCTTACAAAAGTACCAGTTAAAGGGAGAGTTAGGGGAGACCACTGGGACGGATATTGCATACCTTACATTCGCGAGAAGATGCTACGGGTTTGTGCAGTCAGAGTGAATTTGTCTCGTGTACTCCATTTCATACGGGTGCAAACCACTGCCAGTATGTGCCCGTGGTATGATCCCTCCCACTGCGGCTTTCGAAATTGGTCACAAAGTGGCATCTACTGTTCATGCATGAATCCATATCCGACCAAAGTTCTGGTGTGTTACATTAATCCACATTAAAAACAGTTGAATTCTGTTGTCACCCAGGGAGCTCCTGTATCAAGCTACGTCCCAGCTACCACTGATGCATACAGCAACAGTAAGCTGGACCCTATTTGGGGATCACCAAGCCCTGCTGGAGTCTGGAAGTATGCAGACCAAATAGAAGATCTAATCATTCCGTACTTGATCCCAAAGTAAGTTGATTCATTTAATCACTTGATTTGCACGTGATTTGGCAAGCAACTAACTTGTAGTTGTCTTGTGATTGAATTGATTGCAAATCTGTTGCACTTGTATTCATGTTAATAGCCTTGAAATGAGCCTGGAAAAAAGTAAAGTATTGTCAACTTCATGTGAAGTCGATGTGGATTCGTGCAAATTCAGAACAAATGTTAATATTAGGTGCGAACAAGTGCACACTATGTGTACCTCCTATGGAGCTATCATGGTATACCAATGGTCAAATCATATCAATGAGTTAAATTATACCCCATTCATTTTTTCACCACCAGGTCCCAATGCACCAGGTTGGCTCCTTCCCTCCTGCTGTCAGGCCCGACAGGCTGCGGTAAGGTCACCGTGGTGAGGTCCGTGTGTCGCAGGCTCAACCTACACTGCGTGGTGGCCAACTGTCATGACCTTTGTGCCGACACCACGGCGTCCACTGAGGCTAAAATCAAGAATCTCATGTTCAAAGGTATGTGATTGATGTTGTCATGGATGTTGTTCCAAATCTTCAGCTTTTGGAGATTTTTTTTTGGGGGGGGGAATTCTGCTCGGTATGGGTCCATTTTCTGCTTCAGAAACATGAATCTCATGACATTAAGCAAGCGTTTCAAGTGTTTGGCACATTTATTTGCCTCACCTGCCTTAATCCAGTACAATCCTCGAAAGATTTCCCGATGTATGTAAGTTTCAAATGAAAGTTTCAAACCAAATATTTCCTAAGATCAGTCTAAAGTCTTAGAAATAACTTCCTTATCTTTTAGCACATCACCCCAATTTGCAGAATTTATCCGTTTGTATCATTGCATCTTTCTTGCCCAGGTGGTATGTGTGCTCCCTGTATTCTCGTCATGAGGAACATCCAAGTCTTGGCTCGAGACAGAGACGGCACTGGCGAAGGTGAGTGAAGCTACTTGTGGGGTCATGGTAGGGTCAGTTACCAGCAGAGTTGCAGCCAAGTCATCATGAGGCAATCACAAAATAATCACAAGTCAATCCGGGGCAAGTTCGATCGAGGGCCATGGTTATCAACAGTTCGACTGGCTGATCAAATGCACGCAAGTCAACGATGGTTGGACTGGTCTAGTCGACTATTCAGGACCAGCCTACCGTGGTTGGTAGCGCAACGATTTATAGCTGGTTATCAATAGCAATTTTCATAGCATAGTGCGAGTGTAATAACTTGCAAAAAAATATGGCGGCAAAACGAAACTGCGAGTGCTAAATTTCATTTTCATTGCATAGTCTTTCCCATTTGAGATTACGATTCTGTCACTTTTGTCACCAATGTACAATAATAATTGCGATTATGTAAGGCGTCCTAAACTTCACAATCACTATTATTTGTGTAAATTAACGGAAACATCAAGTGTTGAAAAATTGTGCCACAGCCATTTTCTCACGGTGGTTGACATGACAATAGTTTGAATAGAGTTGTTCGCACTTCAACTTCAGTGCGCATGCACTAGGTACGTCACAAACCAACAACTAGTTAACCACTGGTCCTTGATCGAACTTGAACTCAGTCTCAGTTCAAGTGGCAATAGACCAATACATTAGGCCCAGCCCACATGGACAGCAACACATGCACCTCTCCAGTGCCACACTGCATGTTCCATCTGGGTGCAAACCTGTGAATGGGTCCAGAATTGCCTACGCGGGCCAAATCACAATTTGTGCACCCTCAAATCCCTTGCTATTAGAGCATTTTGTGGGCCATGAACTTGAAGGTTTGTAAAAAAAGATGGGTGGAAGCCGTGCACAGGAGTGTGAGCTCGTATTTCTGTAAAAATTCTCATGAATTTGTGCCCTAAAATTGCTCTATTTTGCAATGGAGAGTAGGCATCATTTTTGACAATGGCGATGGGCCACAGGACTACTTTTCGGGGTGATCATCTTTGGATGGAATTTTCTCCCAAAAGTTATCAGTTAATGGAACATAAATTAACAGAAAATGAAAGATTATGAAATAAGCTTTCATTTGCTTGGTGTATCAAACACCTCGGAGAGTTGTGGGAATTTTAATAATTTTTGGAAGAATGCGTAATTATCACTGAAGTCTATGGGAGTCAATTTGCAGGTCTGCACTCATCTGGTGCATCATATGGGTCATTCTTTAAATTTGGGACTCACTTTTTATCCTGTCCCTGTTACATTTGACATCTGTGGTTTTATAATGATGATCCGCTCCTTAATGCGCTGTTGTCCTCCAAGAGTGATTAGAAATAGCAAACTGACCTACCTGACAGATAGAGAAATTGTTTGAAGTCATTCGTAATGATACTTGAATAGTAAATTACAAGTACCAAGGTAACAGGGACAGGAAAAAGGTCACATTTTGGACCCTAAATTTATAGAATGGCCAACATGCGCGCTTGTCATGTGGATTTTGTGTACACATGTCAAACATACATGTACATGTACATGATGTAAATCACTAGTTCATTGATTGGTTAAATACTATATGGGGGGCCCGTAATGGAGTGGTCTTTACAAATATGTCAAATGAACTGAGTCAGAGGGATCCCTTTGTCATTTTTCATTGGCAGTTTTTTGTGACCTGACTTGGCCTCCGTTTTGCAGTACATGTACATGTATTTCGTGGAACGAACAAGGGCACAAACATAGAATTAAAATGGCAAGGTTTCATGTTGGAATATACAAAGTTGAACACATCTCAACACTGGCAAATTTATCTCCAAATGTTTTATGATGTCAAATTCGCAGAAATCTGTGTTTTCATTTCATTTATTTCATTTATTTCATTTTTCGGGATACAACAAATAATAACATTAAATGAACAGAAATACACATTTATAACCATTTTAGACAAAACGTACAAAGTACAATATTTAACCAGTTCCCACTGGATACCCAAAAGAAACATGGTTTCTGTCGAGGGGCTCTCCAACTGATTAAATATGACACACTGAAAACAATGTTAATAATTTATAACTACGTAAAACTTTAAAGAAATAAGACAATAAAACAAGTCCATAAATGAATAAAACTATGAATAAAAGGATGTGAAGCTAACCCAAGGAAAAATGGATGCATTTTTTTTCATAGATCCCAGAGTTGCAGCATCTTTGAAGGAGGCCATCCAATCACTGTCGAGTACTCACCATGACTACCCTGTGGTTGTCATAGCAACTGCACCTACTACCAAATCAGTACTGACTGATCTGCATGCATGCTTTCTACACCATCAAGAAATGAAGGTGAATTCATTGCATCTATATGAGTTCTTTAATATTGGGTTTTACCCTGATGTATTTTTACAAGCACAGCACACCAAGTGCGGTCTGAAAGCTTGCCAGGAAAATTTCAAAGCTCATTGGGGTGGGACTCAAACTTTAGAAGTTACATTGAAGTTGTAAAATAACCTGAGTGAGCTTGTGTCTTTTTTAGCATGCCCTCAGACAGCACTGAGCATGCAGTGCTTATTAAATTACATTGCTGTAGTACAAAACCCAATATTTACATCATATAATATTGGAAGGCTTTGAGGGGGATACAAGAATCTATTGCGTGGTCTATAACAATATAGGGCTGTGCATCGGAACCGGGTACCCGAGTACCCGAATGTTCATGTCAGGAACCAATTCCAGATTATGGGATAAGGTACCCGTAACCAATTTTACAAATTACTTAGGAACTTCTCAGACAATGAGAAAGAAAGGTTTTGAATGTCATTTGTAGGGAATTTAAAAAATGAAAACCAGGCTACGTTGGAAAACAAAACATATGTTGCAGTTATGACGCTCGCAAAAGTTGCAATGTGAAGCTATAAGCTCACTGTAAACACTTGTATATTGCTGTATTGACGCACCGATGTGGTAGTATTATCGTGCGGACCTTTATGAATAATCTGACCAGCAAGTTCCCAGATATGAAGTTTGGGCCTGTGTTTCTTTTACTGGTTCTTGGATACTGGTGGCTTTTTTTTTATCAATCAGGTACCCGTACTACCAGTAAATGTACACACCTAATATTGCACAAGTTGCAGACGAAATAATTTTTCAGATCTTGTCAGTTGGATTGCATCTTAACTTTTACTTGGTGTTTTTTACAATCATCCGTTGCTTATTGCAGTATCCTTGTAATTACTTCTTGCAGGCTAATAAAGCTTTAAGAATTTTCATTATAGTATAACAAAGCAATTTTTCTTGGTGTCACATATGGTCCAGAAGATTTCTAAACCCTCGTGGTGCAAATGGCACCCTTGGCTTCACCTTATGGCCCATTTACCGTCCTTGGGCATACAAAATGCCATGGACCACATCACAATATTTGTTGGCAGGGGGATCGGGGAACCATATTCCGCAAATATTGTTTGGGTGATGACACCAGTGGTGATGTCAACCCCCGCCCACAAATAATTCATTCCAGCGGATATAGATTTTGTACATATCTTTGTCACTTGTGTATTTCCTGTAAGATATTGCCCCACAATCAACAATTCACTCAACAGTAAATACTGTGGGAATGGGCCCGAAATGCGTATACGAATATGTACATTTGTATGTGCATTCAGTCAGGACAATCCTATTTGAATAGCACTCATTGGAGTAAGGTGACCAGCCCACTATCCCTCTGCTGGACCCTCCATTCCTGACCCCCACCCCCAGCCCTCCTGTGTCCCCATTGTGGGGCCTTCCAATTCGGAGTTTGGGGAAGGCAAACATAAGCTTTTTGAGTGCCCCTTCAGAAAGAGAGGGACCAAACTACACCATTAGAGAAATAATTGACTGGTAATATTGATAAGGTGGAATGATCATATTTTTTTTTTTTTTATCCTGTTTATTCATATAAAGGTGCCTAATGAACAAGAGCGGACTGAGTTACTGCAGGCCCTCAGCGAGAAGGTTTCCCTGGCAACGGATGTTGACATCGCGTATATTGCCAAAAGAACTGCTGTAAGTGTCAAACGTGCAGGAGTTGGAAGTGAAAGGCTGTCATGCTTGCTTTTGAAAATTATAATGAAAACAAATTAGTTAGGGTTTATTTCCTATACACATAGGCATGCAACCAGGGCCCAATTTCATAGCTCTGCCTACCATTAGCGAAAAATCCCTGCTTATCGTAACAGAAAATTCTGTGCTTACGGTTAGCGTATTTCACGGTTAACAAGGAATTTTGGCTTTTGGGCATGCATACAATCCCGAAACTAAGGACCCTTACAGGGTTAGCACAGAATTTTCTGCTAGCGTATAGTTAGCACAAAATGGTGATCATAAGCACAGATTTCTGCGGTTAGCAGAGCCATGAAATGGGGCCCAGGCCTGTGCCACGCGTCCTGCGATCCATATCACAAAACATGTCGTAAGTGCAACACGTCGTAAGTGCGACGCGTTGTATGTGTATTTATAGCACAACTCGATGACTGTTTTATGTATTTAGTCAGCGTACAGGAAATAGTCGTCTGATATTCAACAAAGAGTTCTCGGATCTCAGCTCGAAATTTGTTAAAAACGTAAAATAAAATGGCGGTCGCGCTATGCAATTTTGAAGAAAAACAAGCTCTCAGTGGACTGTATAGCTACTTTGAAATTTCAACTGCAGTTTTCCAGTCTAATTTATAATTATTCAATGCTTTTGCTCTAATTACAACTTTACACACATTGCCTCGGTATTATAATCTCGTTTATGTAATGTTTATGGCATTAAATTGGGACTCTTTTTATTTTGCGATGACCACTAGACACGTCGTAACTTGCGACGTGTTTTAAGCCGTTGTCAAGGAACTTACGACGCGTTTTGTGAAATGGATGAAACGTCATAACTCGAGTTGCGACACGCACTTCGTAAAATCAGGTGCAGGCCTGCTGCAGGCCTGAATTAGGGGGGGGGGGGAGGAGGGGGGTTACCATCCCATACTGTACACATTTTCATCGCAAGTGCACAACATGTGCTGCACCATATCATGCTTTGCAAGTTGTATGCTTTTCCCACTTCAGGAGTTTTATATGCACTAGGTTATTGAAGTAATAATTTTGTGTCCATCATGAGGCCACAAGTACATGAAAAAAACACATGCTGTACGAACTACATGTACTCGTGTGAGGATTACGCGCATGCTTTCAGCACCGTTTCTATGCAAGCGTACGTTTGCGGCTAGTGCGCGCGTGACAAACTTTCTAACAAGTTTGTCTGAGTATGCGCACGTATGGTGCGGAACAAAATTGACGTCATTATTACGGAGTGCTATTTTTGTATATTTCGTCGTGTGCCCGGCAGAAGGGCATATGAGCGTTCTGACGCAAAAAACATTTTCAAAAAAATTGCACTGAAAGGTTCCATTGTTCCCCCGCTTGATTATGAATCCAATGCTCTCCCACACGTAATATAAATCGTACGAATTTGAAATTTGTCACACGTATGAATCATAAGTTCTGGAACAACTTGTATTAATTTCTGACGAAAATGTTTAAATTTCATTAAAATGGAGGCAGTTTTCTGCGTATGCTCTTTTGCTGGGAACATTTTGGTCATTATGCGCTATTGCATAAGGGTATATGCACATATGCCCTTCTGCCGGGAACACGACGATTTGATGTTTATGTTTTTTTCATTTGATGTTTTGCAGGGCTTGGTGCTTGGTGACCTTTGTGCTCTGCTTTCTCATACCATCAGGTCATCCACGGCAAGGGTCATCAGTTCATGGTATGTCATCCTATTTCTTTGTCATGGTGGATCACTAGTCCTGTTCTGCAGAGTTGTAATCAATCACAAGTCAGTCATAAGAAGACTTTGACGAGTCTAAACCACTGATCTCTATATAAAGACTGGATAGCGGATAAAGAGCTGCACAATGAATGAATTTGACGCCATATTGGTGAGACCGGTGAGACCGGCTGGTGATCTACAAAGGACAAGTTGCCGTCTTTATAGACAGTATGATTTCTTTTGTATCATCGCAGTTCACTTAACTTATATTTTGACCACCACCTCTGACAAAGGTTTACAACTTTTCTAACGTCGTGGTTTACTTTTTGTTAGTGCCGCAGTTCACTTTTTCGGCGTTTTGGAAATAATAATCACTACCGAAATGTGTCCTTTTTAGAACATCATAATTTGTGTATGTGACCAAAATGCGCGTCAACTGTTGATACAACGCGCGCTGTATATACGCGTAGAATGTTCGTATTCAACGCGGCCATCTTCGTGAGACCGGGGGCGAATTGGTCAATATGCAAAGTCTACTGTGTGAATGTTGTATGCATATATCCGCTATCCAGTCTTTATATAGAGATCAGTGGTCTAAACTCCGTGTTTTAGGGACCAGACTACTGAGGCTGGTCCCAAAACTGTACTTGGATAGCAAGTCATCAAGTTAAGTGACAAGAATAAATTGTGACTGAAACGACATCGTTCATCCCTCACTTATTTGTGACATGACTTGAAATTTTAGTTGTGATTTGAAATTGATCAGGGAAACACACAATGTATCTCAGCTGTATCAATTAAGCCATGCACCTTTAAAGTGTCCATTAATGTACCATTGAACAATGAGGCAGAAAACATGTAGATGAAAGCAGGTTATTTTTTTTAATCACTTTTTCAAAAGCGTTTATCAATTGATTGAGTTTTGTGGATGATGGGCATTATAGGAACCTGTAAATTCCTTAGCGATGGGTGTAAGTTTGCATGGGGAGATTTAGACACAGTTTTAGACATATCAATATTTTGAAAGTTAAAAAAACCCTCAGATTCAAATAAAACAAATCTGATTTAAATCACATAAATACGATTTTGTTTGTTTAAAAAAAAAAAAAAAAAAAAATCGCCAACCTTGCTGACACTGACAGATGAATTTATTTACCAAGATGAAATTTTGCTCAGAAAATGGCTGAATCAGTTGGCTGGAGTATTAAACCTCTAGGCTCCATGACAATGGTAATACATGTATTGATATTTGTTGCCAAGCAACCACATCATTCTTAATGACAAGCCTTCACAGCTTGATTTAATATAGTTATTACCAATTACCACTAAAAAAAAGACCCAAATTGCTGCATTGTTGACACTTGATTTACAATGCAACCATACCATACAATTTAGCTTGTATTGTTAGAAAGCTAGATTATGAGTATACAACATACATAGTAGCAACTTGCCACGTACATGTAGTTGCCGCTGTGGCTTGACAGAAAAGTTCCACAATAGCCCGGAATTCAATTTGTACCGTCTTGCCATTGTGGTTTGTCGGAACAGTTCCAGGAAAGGCAGCCTATCCTGCCGTTACCCGTTGTCATAACAAATTCCAAAAATAAACTGATTCATGTATTAGCTGATATTATACAACACCTGAATAAATCCCCGTCATCTGATTGGTGGATCGTTGATCACATGCCATTGAATTATTCGTACCAACGCACGGCGTTTTATTGCACGGTGAATAGAACTTCCATTGCACGGTGTCACTGCTGTTGGTAGTGGCGCTGTTTTAAATCGAGATAAATTGAATATGATTGTTCTCAACCTGTTGAACAGTTTGCATTAATGAAATATGATGAGCTTGTCGAACTTTTTAACAGTTTTTAACCTTAATAAATTGGCTATTAAAAATCAACCAATCAGATGACAAGGATTTATTCAGGTGTTATATAAAACAAATAATGATTGTTTCACGTTCGTGCAATGGAAAGAATAATTTCATTCGGTGACAGATGAAATGTTCCATTCCACTCGGCTTCGCCTCGTGAAATGGAACATTTCATCTGTCACCTCATGAAATTATTCTTACCATTGCACTCACAAACATTCATTATTTGTATACCATCCTGCCGTTACCCATTAAGTAAACTGATTCATTAGCTGATTTCGCAACGTAAACAAAGCATTGCTAAGTTACAGTCAAGCCAGCATTGGCATATTTGGATCCGTCACTGAGGCCTCATAAAACCCCTTCACTTATGTTGTTATTCAGAACTACAACAGCTTTGGACTCATCTCAGTGGGGATAAAAGTAAACCTTTTAGAAAGATATTTTTCAGGATGAACCAGTATTTATCTAAAACTGATGCTTGATTTCAAAGGAATTGGGAAACAAATTCTCCTGATGATTCATGTACATATATTGTAAATGTACATGTACCTTAAAAGTCCTCCAACCAAGTGAACATGTATTTTACTTCTACCACAACAGGAACAATACAACAGTGATATAAACTGCCTTCATCTAAAAACTTTTGAATCCAACACTGACAGATTACAGAACAATTTTTGACAACCATATACATTAGGTTGAGCGCAGTTCAAACTTTGATTAAGGGAATAAGTGTGTGCTTGGCTGGTTTGAATGTTTAAGACTGGTTTGGAGTGTGGAAGCTGATAATGACCCGAGCCGGCTTGAGCTGAAGGCAAATTTCATTATCAGCGTCCAGACTGCAAAGTGTTCTTAAAAGTACGTATTTATTCCCATTCATAAATTACCTTTTAGGTCAAACAGTAAACACAAGTACAAAATCATATATTTCCAACGATTTTGTTCAACAAGTTTTTAAAAACACCCCTCTAGCTATGTTGGTATGTGACTCTCCCCAGTAGTCGTAAATGACTCCTTATATGGAGATTGGCATATGGAGATTGGCGTGCGCATTGTGGCACAGAATGCAGCTGTGCCGGTGTAGCGTGAATTTGGACTATGACATAAGGACTCATTGGTAGTACACGTATTGCGCATTCCAAACAGGTTTGTGAACGTTTAACCGATAAAAGGGTATTTGGGACCGGATTTCATCATAGGAGTCAAGTTTCATGTGAGACTGGAAAAGTGTTTAAAAGCCAGCCATGTCTTTATCAACTTTTTAAAACCAGCCACATGACGGGCTCTCGACCAATAGGATTGGGTGTCTTAGGTATTATGAATGTTGGTTACTGGTTGATTCTACAAGATCCTAGTAAATTCATCATTTACATAAAGACTAAGCATTTATACAACTTTAAACTATGACTGGCAAATCTATTAATTTTCACCAACATTTTTTTTTCCAATAAACTATTCTTTACAAGTACATTCATCAAATGTATGACATCACAAACTTAAAGGTAATGGGCACCATTTACAAAAAAAAATTGCATTTTCTTCAGAATCAGGGAACAACAATACAATAAATCTGAAGCAAATTAGTAAAAATCAAACTTCAGTAGGTATACTTTTTCAGTCATACCTTCCAAAATGTGCATTGATATGCTTTGACTTGTACCCTCTTGTGTATGATCCCCATTTTGTCAATCGGATGCATAATTCCAGTTCACGTACATTATGAGACTGATTGAAAACTAAACTAGATTTGGTCAATTGGGAACAGTATTTGAAAAAAAAAAGGTTTTTTCTTTTCTTGCGATGATTTAGTCCTCACCATTGGGAGGAAAAGATAGTAATGACAGCATGGTAGGTCAATCAATTTCACAGGATGCTTGAGCCTATTATTTACTTACAATCAAGTAGGATATTTCATATTATATAACTGACATACCAGTACAGATCCTTGTCATTTGATTGGTGGAACTCACATCACGTGTCATTCGGAATTCGCCCATGGGGAATGGGAAATAGGCCTACTGTTCAACAGTTAGGATCATTCTTGTTCCATGATGCGGTATTTGTGTGCAAATGCATGATGGTGTGCGCGTTCAGCGTTGGGCGTAGCGCGTATTGTTCCAAAGAGCCAGCACTACAGAGTTGGGTTCAAACATTTTCGTGAAGGGGTGGTTTGGAAGAGAGAAATACATTTTCCACTAATTTTGTATTGAAATAAAAGTTCAAATATATCAAATGACAAGGATATACAGCGTCAGTAAAAAAACAACGAAACCCAAATGTCGGGACTATTGTTTTATAGAAGTTCTCCATGTAGCACTTTCAAAATCTAGGACATAAAAGCCCAATTCAAAAGGTTTCTTTTAGTACAAGAATCATTTAAATCACTCGTACTTTTCAAGTTACGGAATTTTAAACACAACCACCGTTTTAAAGTTTTGTCCACGGATCACAAAAAAAGGTGTGCGTTCTTTCAGCAAAACAAAAACAATTCACACACATCCCTATGTGATTTGTTTCCGTTTTGCTGAAAGAACACTGAATTTTGTTGTGATCCATGGACAGAACCTTAAAACGGTGGTAATGTGTTTAAAATTCAGTAACTTGAAAAATAAACGAGTGATTTGAGTGATTCTTGTACTAAAAAAAAGCTTATGAACGAAGCTTTCATATCCTAGATTTTGAAAGTGCTACATGTACATGCATAACTTCACTAAAACAATGGTCTCAACATTTGGGTTTCGGGTTATTTTTACTCACCCTGAATGTCAATATCAAACAAATATTGAGTGGCTTTAAAATGTGAAAAGGGAGGAATATTATCGGTAAAATCTAGACTTTTCCAGTTCACCCGGCTTTGCCTCGTGAAATGGAAAAGTCCAGATTTTACCTTGCGATAATATTCCTCCGATTTCACTCTGAGCTACTCAGTATTTGTATAATATTTTGGCAGTTTCATTTTGAATGTTTGCAAATGGTGTCCATTACCTTTATTTGTATCAGAGTATTAAGTAAAACCACACAACATCACTGCTATTTACAGCAAGCAAACTTCACGCAATATTCAAAGCAAATTAGAAGGTCCATTCTGCAATGTTAGTACATTTCCAATTAAGAC